TTCTTGTATATATCCAAATATTGTTTTAAAGGAATAGAAGTACTTTCCAGAAATATTATTTACTCTTTCTGAGATCTAATTGAAAAGAATGAAAAGTAATTTAGCTTGGAGATAGAAAACCTATTTATAACCTGTAGGTAGTAGAATATGATAATATTCGTAAATGTATAAAATCATCTGTATTTCTCATGGGTTCAAACCTTTAACTCATTTATTTTTAAAACTTTCCATTCAAGAATCGCCATTATAAAACTTTCAACCCTGTATATTCTTTTTTTGACAAAATTACCTCGGAGAATTAAAAATAAAATTTGATCTTACCAGGCTGCATTTCTTGCATAAAACGTGCTGGGTCGACTCTTCACTGGGTAGCCATCCTGGACAGTACGACTGAATGTATTAACAGTGCATGTTGTACCGGCACATGAATACTGAATAGGAACCGAACATTTTTCTCACCCCGGACTAACCAGAGTGAAGAACATTCGGTTTCTTCTCTTTTAAATTAAATGTGTTTTGGTCTATAATTCAACAATCTTTAACGTAAGGATTTTTCTATTCTATACTTTTTCATTTAAAATGAATATGCCGACAAAAATTATCTGAGAAAAAAAAACAATAAAAAATTATGGTTTATGGGTCAAATTGTGATCGAAAGTCCCAGCTTTCTGAAATATTGACAGAACCGTTAAATCCACGTGTTCTGAAGGACTGCAATAGACGTAATTTATCTTGAGATTTCTGTAAAAAATGGTTATTTTCGATTGTCGTTTCTCAAAAATGTTACAAAATAAAGTTTTAAGAGGAGAGGTTACCATTTTTAGTATCGGGCTTGAAATTAAAACACTAAGTTTCTATAATCCTTTATATTTTGAATTTTAAACCTGTTTGTGCAAACCTTTGATTTTTCAGACTATATCAGAATCTGTCTATTCAGTCCTCCATCAGCTTGAAATATCAAAGGTTTACGAGTATTTCGTAGAGTAATATTCTTATGTTTTCTTTATTCTTGATTTTTTTTGTAAACTTATTAACTTCAACTTTAACTTATTGATTTATTAAAACGTTAATAAAAGATGATTGGCAACTTCATTTATAAAGTTCATTAAACATTTCTAATGGAATTGATGTTATAAAAGATTTTTCTCCTGCATGTTTTCTACATTCTCTTCCCCATATAATAGAATTATAAAACAATTCTAGAGTAGAACCTGTTGTAAACTAACTTTACTTTACAAACAATCTCATAGAGTAGATAAAGGAGGAGGAGGAGAAGGAGGAGCAGAAGGAGGAGAAGGAGGAGAAGGAGGAGAAGGAGGAGAAGGAGGAGAAGGAAGAGAAGGAGGAGAGGGAGGAGAAGGAGGAGAATGAGGAGAAGGAGGAAAAGGAGGAGTAGGAGACACGAAGGAGGCGATGGAGGCGAAGGATGCGAAGGAGGAGAAGGAGGAGAAGGAGGAGTAGATGGGGAGACTGTTAAATTTATATAACATCCCCTCCCAATATATATTCTCATAAAATTGATCTAAAAATAACTGTGAAAATGAATCTGAAGGTGAGTATACGAAGATATAATGAAAACCTGAAGTATACACAAGGTTTAAACAATATATACACCAAAATAACTGTTGGATGTGAGAGAGGAGGGGGGTAGATGCAATCCCCCACCCCTGCTCTTTTCGGTTGTGATTGTGAACAATGAATGATGCAAAAAAAAATTTCAAAACCGTCCATACGATTGCGAATTGACTATTTAATATTGGAGAAATCACTGTATGTAAGGCCCCAAGAAAATTTTTAATATCATGTTTTACATCATTTTACGGTTTTCTTGGAAAGGAGTTGAGTCTTTAAACTCAGATTTTCTTATCCCTATGACTCTGCGACTGCAACCCAATGTTGTAGACCTTAAATATTTCAAACTATGAATTCTGGTAGATAAAATAATCTAAATTTGAAATATCAAAGGTTTACACCATGGGATTGCAAAGTTATAGGGATCATAAAGTTTGAGTGTGTGGCAAAGACTCAATTTCTTTTATGCTGAATTCAAATCTGAAGAACGCGTTTCAAATATTGAAAAGTAAAGAAGTTATAGACAAATAACGGTCCAAAATTCTGTTTTTTTAACTTTTTAAAATTTTGATAAGTTTTTTATCTCTAACTAATTCAATTTTCATATTTTTAAAGCGCTTTTCATATTTAAATTCAGCATAAAATTTCCAAGAAAATGATGTAATACATGAAATAAAAAAAATGTCCGATATTAAAACTTTTTTTTTGGTGGGCGTTTTGCTGATTTCTAAAAAAAGTCACAAATCAATCACCCGTATTGACAACATTGTTTATTAAAAATTTAAACTTATATGAAACGTGCATATTGATATATTCGTATAACTTTAAATATGAACATTTCAGAGTTTCAAACATATTGACATTTTCATTATAGATTGTTCGCATCATCCACATTTATTTAATATTTGGAAAATAGAATTGGAAACTAATTATTTTGTTATGAAAATTTAATCCTTTTAAATAATAAACATGTTTAGATCGCTAGGAAAAGTTTGGTTTACTGGACACAGGCTTAGCTTTACAATACCCATCCCACTAATTTAAACATTTACTTGTTCATAAACCCTCCATGTTTATTGTAAAAAATATCAGAATTTGATAATATTACAATATTATACTGATTGATAGAAATAATAAACTTTCCAGAAAAAAGTGCAAAGTTTTCCATCAATTAAGAAAACTTTTTCTAATGGATTCTTCAAATACATCAGACTTTACTATATATTTGTTTGCTTTCTATGATTTTAACTCACATCTCTTTAGGAATATTTGTAAACAATAAATATTTTGAACAATACATTCATTTTACCCAATTTCGTGATATATGATTTCAAAATTATTTCATCGGACAAAATATTCAGAATGTTTCATAACATAAATCATTTGTATGGAAGTAATCATAATTTACGATTACATTTTTCCTCTGTCTAATGCAATCGTTAGTTTTAGAGTTGATGCTTTTATTAAAAACAATGATTTTTTTGTCTTTTCTTTCTTTCTTTAACGATTTTTTTTTACTTTTAACGATGATTAAAAAACGTATAAATTATATTTTGTAATATCTATTTTATTACGAAATGTTTTATAAGAAAAGTAGGTAAAGTATACTTGAAGAAGTTTTAAGCTCTTTGTGGGGGATTACCAGGCCTAGTTCATCCTTCATCCTTATACAATACTTCATTTATACACCTTCTCATCCTCATCCCTACCAGGCCTAGTTCATCCTTCATTCTTATACAATACTTCATTCATACACCTTCTCATCCTCATCCATACCAGGCCTAGTTCATCTTTCATTCTTTACACCTTCTCATCCTCATCCATACCAGGCCTAGTTCATTCTTCATCCTTATACAATACTTCATTTATACACCTTCTCATCCTCATCCATACCAGGACTAGTTCATCTATCATCCTTATACAATATTTAATTCATGCACCTTCTCATCCTCATCTATACCAGGCCTAGTTCATCCTTCATCCTTATACAATACTTCATTTATACACCTTCTCATCCTCATCCATACCAGGCCTAGTTCATCTATCATCCTTATACAATACTTAATTCATGCACCTTCTCATCCTCATCCATACCAGGCCTAGTTCATCCTTCATTCTTATACTATACGTCATTCATACACCTTCTCATCCTCATCCATTCCAGGCCTAGTTCATCCTCCATCCTTATACAATACTTCATTTATACACCTTCTCATCCTCATCCATACCAGGCCTAGTTCATCTATCATTCTTATACAATACTTAATTCATGCACCTTCTCATCCTCATCTATACCAGGCCTAGTTCATCCTTCATTCTTATACAATACGTCATCCATACACCTTCTCATCCTCATCCATACCAGGCCTAGTTCATCCTTCATTCTAATACAATACGTCATTCATACACCTTCTCATCCTCATCCATACCAGGCCTAGTTCATCCTTCGTTCTTATAAAATACTTCATTCATGCACCTTCTCATCATCATCCATACCAGGCCTAGTTCATCCTTCATTCTTATACAATACTTCATTTATACACCTTCTCATCCTCATCCATACCAGGCCTAGTTCATCCTTCATCCTTATACAATACTTCATTCATACACTTTCTCATCCTGATCAATACAATGCCTAGTGCATCCCTCATTCTTATACAATACTTTATTCATACACCTTCTCATCCTCATCCATAACAGGCCTAGTTCATCCTTCATTCCTTTAAAATACTTCATTCATACACCTTCTTATCCTCATCCATACCGGGCCTAGTTCATCTCCCCTCCTTTTACAATACTTCATTCATACACCTTCTCATCTTCATCCATACCAGGCCTAGTTCATCTCTCATCCTTATACAATACTTCATTCATACACCTTCTCATCCTCATCCATACTAGGCCTAGTTCATCCATTATTCCTATACAATACTTTATTCATACACCTTCTCATCCTCATCCATACCAGACCTAGTTCATCTCTCATCTTTATACAATACTTCATTAACTTCATTAATCCATCCTCATCCTGATCCATACAATTTCTAGTTCATCCTCATTCATACCAGGCTTTGCTCATCCTTCATTCTTATACAATATTTCATTCATACACCTTCTCATCCTCATCCACACCAGGCCCTAGTTCATCCTTCATCCTCATACAATACTTTATTCATGCACCTTCTCATCCTCATCCATACCATGCCTAGTTCATCCTCATTCATACCAGGCCTAGTTCATCCTTCATTCTTATACAATACTTCATTCATGCACCTTCTCATCCTCATCCATACCATGACTAGTTCATCCTCATTTAATCCAGGCCTTGTTCATCCTTCATTCTTATACAATACTTCATTCATGCACCTTCTCATCCTCATCCATACCATGCCTAGTTCATCTCCCATCCTTATACAATACTTCATTCTTATATATATATATATTTTTATTTCCAGGAAATGTTTACAATTCTGAATCTCTCTTCGGAACATCATATGGTTTATCCAGTTCTGTTACTCCACAGGATGTTATTAGTACTTCCATCTTAGGTCTAAACAATAAGTCATATATTAAATTTGATCAAAGGTCAGTAACTGCAAAAATCTGAGAAATATTGCAGACAAATGCAACACAGATTTCAATATTATTGACAAACATATTTCACAAATATACCCATGGAAGATGAATGGAGGCTTATATTTTTAAATGAATTCATTTCTGCAAAAAAACAATAAGATTGTTACCGATGGAATTGACCAAGCTGAGCTTGACAATATTATCAATCTATTTGCATGCAGAACGACCTATGAGTAGTAATTTGTTTCCCATCAGGATTTAGTTTTTTGTACTTGTATTTATTTTCATATTTACGCTTATACATTTTTTATCTGTATAATTGTTCCAATTAAATAAATGGTGTACGTTTACGAAATAAATATATAAATAAAATATTAAATGTTGACGAATCCGTATATTCGTTTACGCCTTTTACTAAGGATGCAACTTTGGGCGAAACTTTGTAGCACTTTTTTGATAAAAAAGCTTGCAACAGTAATATTTTTTTATAAAGGAATTAAGTCTTTGCTACAAATTCTGATTTTCTAATCCCTATATCTGAGCAACCCAATGTTGTAGACCTTAGATATTTCAAACTTTGAATTCTGTTTTATCAAATAATCTAAGTTTAAAATGCTAAAGGTTTACATTTTTAGGTCACGAAGATATAGGCATATTGATGTTGAGGCAAAAACTCAGTTCCTTTTCAAATCATTAAGATTTTTGCTTTTTTTTTGTTCAGTTAGTTCTAAGAGTGAAACTTAATTTGTTTTATTAAAATAAAATACAAAGATTTGATCTGCTTTTGTAATTTTTTAGCTTTTCCGATAAAAACTATTCAATCTGTTATAAAGATATTATAATTACTTTATGCTTTAGAAAACAAGGTATTTTATACTAAGGGTAGGAGGGATAGGGTTTATGAACACATTTGACGTCTTTGTACTTCTAAGAACTAGTTTTAACAAAGCAAAAACAAAGTTTGTAAACAAAGGTCGAAATGTAGAGGATCAACAATGTTGTCTTCCAGTATTGAAACCAAACCATGAATTACTTGTGTAATTACAGTTAATTTTCTGCTTCTTTAGAATATAGTGTTGCTACTTTTTGGTGACCCAGACATGATCATTTTGTCAAGGAAAATAACTTTCGCTGACGTACCCAAAGTTGGTTTCGACGGGTCCCTGCGATTTTCAAGCCCATACTCCAAGGTAAGGTTTCCGTCCATTTTGGTTAATCTTTTTCAGATGTAGCAATGGACAAGATTCCAGCAGTTCCGGACCAGGTGTCTTTAACGACCATTCTGGACCAATTCTCCGGAGGTATGGTTCATCCAAGCAGAAACTTATTTCGAGAATAAGAGGATTACTGCCTCCCGTACCAAGTTTACTCAATGTGTTGCCTCCTGGATTTAGTAAGATGGCCTTCCGCCGATCCTTACGATGCTCTGCGATGTCGACTAATTCAGATGTACACATTTAGTGATTTTCAGTGTTATCAGTCCATACAGAGTCTCCATCTTCTCTTTGACCAGTGTCACTCAGTGCTGATAGATAAGATGCTCATGCTACTCCCCGAGAAAGAGAAGCCAGAATGTTTCTTTCGAGGTTTTTTCATGGAATCGATTCACAGTCAAATGTGTAGAGCTAGAAACCCTAGTTATCACAAGAAAGCTCTGAAATAGGAAGACGACTCCTCTTAGAATCAAGTTATTAGTTTAAAAGTCCAATGAGCATGAGACACAGCAATTGTGCAGTGTAAACCTATTTCACTAAATTAGGGATTTAGTAAGTGTCTAGTAACACTTTTTACTTTGTAACTACATAGAATACACTTAAGTAATGCTATAATGTCGTCTTCCTATTTTGTTCTTTTCTAGTTATCACTGTATATTTTATTTAAAAAATTGTTAAATTCCTAGCAATTGTCAAATGTAGTGCCGAAAGATAGATAGTAAATATTCAAAGGGGTACACAGGGATTTGTGAAGGGGAAGGGATTGTAACCTTTTTGCAATTTAAGAAGTGGGTTGATTCTCACAAGGAAATCATAGCTTTTATTTTTCCAGGGGGTTAACCACCATAGCCCTGGCCCCCCTCTCCACCCTGTATACGCCCCTGATAATATAGAATCAGTGATAGTGGTGGTATTCGGAAGAAGGAAGTATGGCTTTTGTATTTTGTCCCAAAATGAGAAAATAAATTGAACACTTAAGCTGGAAGATGAGACCACTATATATCTACAAGTGTTCGGACATAAACAAGGCTCAAAGTTAAATGAAACATCTGAAATAGTTCAGGAAAAACTGTTTCTTGGTTTATGTTTTGCACAATATTTGAACTTGAAAATATTCATCTTCAAATTTACTCCTCAGCCAACAAAAAAAAAGTGAGTAAAAAAAGAATAAAAAATTCACAACAAAAAATACAGAAGAAAATGTAGATATCAAAATAATCATTCACAGTGATATATAATATTATCTTATACATACATATACTTAGCTTGTCTGTTTGTTTGTAAGTGTGTGTCCAGTAAACGTCAAAACGGCTGAGCCGATCGGGCCCAAATTTTGTGTGGGACATAACAGGTTTATGGATAATCGATTTTTTTCAAAAATTTGCCACTGACAAAATTCAACTTTTAAAAATTTTAAAAATCCACAAAATCTTGTTTTTAAAATTCGCGATTTTGTTTGTTTGTTTTGTTTTACAATGTACATGTACAAAGAGAAAATGTTAACAAATGAAATAGAAGATGGGCGCGAAGCGCCTTAAAAGTCTAACATGCATGTATAGATTGCACATTGTATTTTATACATTTGCATGATTTAAAAAGTTCAAATAGCAGATTTCAAATTTGGCAATTGAAATCGAATCAAACTGTGGATTACGATTACAAATTATTAAATAAGAAATTACATTTGCAGACAGAAATTCCAGAATTTTATTACCTGTCATTCTTGCCAGTTTCTAGATCATTTATTCTCCAAACTATATCCATACCCGTTAACACCTGTCATATAAAAATATCAAAGGGACTGCTCACCTTTTTGAAAATATTAAAGGGATCGTTAACTTCTTACAAGAATATTAAAGGGATAGTTTACCAGTTTTGAAAATATAAAAGGGATTGTTCATCTATTCTAAAAATATTAATGGAATTGTTCACCTATTTTGAAAATATTAAAGGGATTGTTCACCTATTATGAAAATATTAAAGGGATTATTCACCTATTTTGAAAATATTAAAGGGATTGTTCATCTATTTTGAAAATATTTAAAGGAATGTTCACCTACTTTGAAAATATTAAAGGGATTGTTCACCTATTTGAAAATATTAAAGGGATTGTTGACTTATTTTAACAAAGTTAAAGGGATTGTTCATCTATTTGAAAATATTAAAGGAATTGTTCACCTATTTTGAAAATATTAAAGGGATTGTTCACCTATTTTGAAAATATTAAAGGGATTGTGCACCTACTTTGAAAATATAAAAGGGATTGTTTACCTATTTTGAAAATATTAAAAATATCATTTGAAATTAAACAAAAGCACTATATGGTTAAGACTTTGGTGAATGAACAAAAGCATTATTTGGTTAATTCTATGGTGAATGTTTACTCTTCCCGTGTCTTTATCTCTTTGAATGATATCAATGGATTAGGAACGTAATTTATGTGATTTTTCAATAAATCTAGTCCCGGACCATCCTTGATATTAGAATAATATCAAGGGATTAGGAACGTAATTTATGTGATTTTTCAATAAATCTAGTCCCGGGCCATTAATGCCCTTTGGATGGAAATTAATGGAGAAAAAAACATTGTTTGTTTATCTAACTTTTTTCAAAATGAAATTTGAAATTGCAGACTTTTATATGAAAGTTTGATTCAGTCTTACAGTACCAGTCTTTCAGATTAGGATTCACTTAAAATTACGGCTTTTCTGTCAATTCTAAATATTAATAAAAATATCAAAAATAGAAAGCTTTCGTTGTTATAAATCCATAAAATAAAATAAAACATTTTTAGTTTGGACCTTGCTACACTGAAGCAACCGTCCAAAGCAATACTCCTTTTTGTATCGTTTTGAAATATTTAAAAGAAATTGATTATTTACCACAAACTCTAATTTTTAATTTCTATATTTGCGCAACAGAACGGTTTAAACATTTCATAACAAACTAAAGAAAATTTTAATTAATAAGAAAAAAAATCATTATTCTTGTAATATGTTTAAGTTCGAAAACAGAATGTATTTAAATATTTATCATGATTAACCTTTCCAAAAACTACATGCTGACCATCCAGAAAGTCTCTGAAACAAGATATTGGATTATCACAGTTAAATGGTCCCAATTAAAGAATAAAGCTTTGTTTAAGATTGTTCCCCCCTTCCCCTCTTCCCCCTTCCCCTTGGGAATTTCAACTCTGTTACCTATCTCTGGAATCTCTACAAGTAAGAATAAAGAACTGTGAACCATTTGTATTTTCTCCATTGTTTGCCATTGATACCGCTCCGACTCCAAAATGTTCAATCTAGAAAATGAAAAAAATTATCAAAAATAAATACTTTAAAATATAAGTGTACATACATGTGTATATGTAATTATGTATACCCCCCACCCCTTTGTTCTTTTCGACTCTTTTACCTTCAATATTTCTTTTAACTTTTGTATCATGACCTATCTTCCATCCAAGGGAAAAAATTGAAAACTTGCCTCAAATTCTAATTCTGGGTATTCCTTTTATCTTTGCAACCTGCAAGTGTAAACTTTGATCATTTAATCTTGCGGATATCATAGTTTGAAATATCTAAGGTCTACGACATTAATTTTCAAAGATATAAAGATTACACTATTAGAGTTGGAGGCAAGTAATCAGTTTTTTGAATTTTCACGCTTAATGTGGAATAGACATTAAAATAATATTTTATTATATTTGATGTTGTTACAGCGCTAAAAGTTTTGCTCTAGTATCTTTAAAATCCCTAATTTTAAATCATAACTTAAATCTAAAAGTCGTCTCTTATTCAACAGTTTTCTGGGTCTCACTGTATCCCCATTTTAGCTATCCTTGGTTTAGTTGAGAAATCTAGACGGTTTGGAATTTTTATGACATTAACAATCAACATTGAGTTTACCAAAACAGTGTTTCCTTTAAAAGTAAAGTCTAAAGTAGGTTCATGTAAAGGTTAGTTTACAGTACGGTGGTAGGCGATTATTGCAATACAATGACGACGACTTTTTGTTTCAGTTTTGATTGTTTACAAGGTTTTTTCGAATTTCAAGTTTACAAGTTATCAAAGAAAAGCTTTTTAATTGACAGAATCTCTAGACTTCCATGCTGATTAACAGCTTGATTTAAATCAAAATTGGAGGGAGTGACAGCAATTATCAAAAATGTCAAAAATAGGAATTTCCCAAATGCCTGGGTATCTGGGAAATTTCTCAAATGTCTGGGTATCTGGGAAATTTCCCAAATGCCTGGGTATCTGGGAAATTTCTCAAA